ACGTCATTATATACGTTAGCATATACGTTAAACGTGTTACTATATACGTCATTACACGTCATATACGCTGTTATATACGTCGTGTACGTTATCACGTGCATTAAACATGTCACATGCGTCCCCACGTACGCCACACACGTCGTCGTCTCACACACACGGCTCACACGTCACGCACGTTATTATATACGTTGTCGTATACGTTATCACGTACATTAAATGTGTTACACACCCTCTTCGTTTACGGGATGCTTTCATTTTATTTCATTCTTATTTTACTTTTTTATTATTGTCTATCGTTCTGTCGTTGTTGTTGTTAATCGCTGTGGTTATCGCTCTTTGTCTCTATTTTTATTATTTACTGTTTCACTGTTATTATTGATTATGATGATCTTTCTATATTTTATTTATTGTGTGTTGTTTTATTATTATTATTATTTTTATTATTGATTATGATGATCTTTCTACATTTTATTTATTATTTAGTGTTTTATTATTATTATTGATTATGATTATCCTTCTATTTTATTTATTCTTTGTTTTATTATTATTATTATTGATTATGATTATCTTTCTATTTTATTTATTCTTTGTTTTATTATTATTATTATTATTGATTATGATGATCTTTCTATTTTATTTATTATTTAGTGTTTTATTATTATTATTGATTATGATGATCTTTCTGCATCTTATTTATCGTCTGCTGTTTTATTGTTATTATTGATTATGATTATCTTTCTGTATTTTATTTATCGTCTGTTTTATTATTATTATTATTGATTATGATGATCTTTCTATATTTTATTTATCGTCTGTTTTATTATTATTATTATTGATTACGATGATCTTTCTGCATCTTATTTATCGTCTGCTGTTTTCGCTCGCCTCTGTCACCCCGTCTGATTTTCGTACGAGTTATGAATATTGATCAGCCTCTCACCGCGGTTCGCTCGCGTGTCACTTCCGCGGTCTCACTCGCCGCGTGTCACTATTATCCCGCGGTCTCGCTCACGCGTTGTTGTTGTTGTCACACGGTTTCGTGTATGTTTTACTCTGTGAGGACGGCTTCGTGTACGTTGTTTCCGTATGATCAGCGGTTATTACTCGTCGTCCTCACGTTAGAGCGGATTATCATCGATTATTATTGATTATTACCCATTATTATCTATTATTATCTATTATTATCGATTATCTTCGATTATTGTCAATTCTTACTCAGTATTATTGATTATTATCCATTATTATCGCTTATTATCGATTATTACTCAGTATTGTTGATTATTCTCCATTATTATCGATTATTATCTATTATCGATCATCATCGATTATTATTGATTATTACCCATTATTATCGATTATTATCTATTATTATCGATTGTTATCGATTATTGTCGATTCTTACTCAGTATTATTGATTATTATCCATTATTATCGCTTATTATTGATTATTACTCAGTATTGTTGATTATTCTCCATTATTATCGATTATCATCGATTATTATAGATGATTATTGATTATTACCCATTATTATCGATTATCGATTATTATCGATTGTTACTCAGTATTGTTGATTATTCTCCATTATTATCGATTATTATTGATTATTACTCAGTATTGTTGATTATTCTCCATTATTATCGATTATCATCGATTATTATAGATGATTATTGATTATTACCCATTACTATCGATTATCGATTATTATCGATTGTTATCAATTATTGTCGATTCTTACTCAGTATTGTTGATTATTATCCATTATTATCGCTTATTATCGATTATTACTCAGTATTGTTGATTATTCTCCATTATTATCGATTATCATCGATCATCATCGATTATTATAGATGATTATTGATTATTACCCATTATTATCGATTATCGATTATCTTCGATTATTATCAATTGTTACTCAGTATTGTCAATTATTATCAATTATTATTGATTATTATCAATTATTGCTCGTTATTATTGATTATTATCCATCATTGCTCACTATTATTAATTATTATCGATTATTACTCAATATTGTTGATTATTATCGGTCATTATTGATTATTATCGATTATTACTCAGTATTATTGATTATGATCGATTAATACCAATTAATACTCGGTATTATTGATTATGATCGATTATTATAGATTGTTATCGATTATTATTGATTATTACTCAGTATTATTGATTATTATTATTATCAATTATTAATCACTATTATCGATTAGTATTGATTATTACCGATTATTACCGATTATCACTCAGTGTTATTGATTATTACCGATCATCACTCACCGCCGTCACGTCACGCCGCTTTGTTTATCCGCCGCGGTCGTTATTTCCCGGCGTCGGGTCCGTCGTCTACGACGACGATCACTTTGTACCGCGTTACTTATCCGCCGCCGTCGCCCGCCGTTTCCCGGCGTCGGGTTTACCGTTCGCTCGATCGTCGTCTCTCACCGTGGGCGTGGTTCTCCGCGCGGCGTGCGTCATCGCGTGCGTTTTCGCGTGCGTCACGTGCGTGTACGCGGCTTCACTCACGCCTCCTCTGTCTCCGCCCCCGCAGGTCCCCGCGGGAGCCGCTGCCCTCGGATGCCACGACGAGGACGCCGCCCACGGACGCGCGAGGACGACGGGAAGTGAGGCGGGAGCGACGGGAACCGACGGGAAGCGGCTTGAAGCTGACAGGAAGTGGACTAAATGGACAGGAAGTGACTGAAAACGGACAGGAAGTGGATTAAACTGACAG